TTCAAAAAAGTTTTTAGAAATTGAATTAAAACCATATTTGGTTGAGTTTTCAAAACTCAGTTTTGAATTTTTTTGGATCTTCTGTTTTTTTTCTTGTAGTCAAAAAGAGTTTTGGGTTGGGTTTGAAAAAGAGTTTTCAAAATCCAAAACTTGTTGATTTTGAATTTTAAAAAATAGAGTTTGATTTTAAAAAGAGTTTTGTTTTAAATTTTGAGTTTTGGATTTTAAAAAATGAATTTGAATTATGTTATGTGAAAACTCAAAATCAAACACAAGTTTTGAGTTTTGAAATATGGATTCAAAATACAAACAAACGGTACCCAAGTCTTTGTCTGTATTTTACATTTGGGGAAAAAAAATAATGATTATCGGGTAAATTATACTAAATGACATATTTGCCTTTTAATATTTATACATATGAAATAATAATAATATAGATATTTTGTTCATGTCATTTTAAGAGAAATAACAATCATCTTTTGTACTTTAACTCACACGAAAAAATTAAATTTTTTTTTTATTATTGATTTTTTTAATATTTTAAACAATTTTTTTATTTTTATTTTTTAGATACACCTAATCTAGATATACTTAAAAAGTATAATATTTTTTTGATTTTTTTTTTTTTGAATTCACTAAATACATATGTATATATAAATTCAATGTATTATCTTATTTTGTTGTATACAATCATTTTTTCTAAAAGTTTTTGTACAAATTTTATACTTTTTAAATATATCTAGATTAAATTAATCTAATCTAGATATAATGGTGGAAATAAAAATGAAAAATTGTATTCATATATAAAAATTTATACAAAAAATATCATAAAAATATTGTGATAGTGATATTGTTGTAAATATAAATCATGTTTATGGGTGTTTTGTGTTTCAAAATTCTATATAAAATTTATATATGTATATCATGACTGAATAAGAATACGCTCAGATAAAATTTAATGATGAAAAGTTATAAAATGTAGTCATGATAATAGAAAGAAAAAATGGTAAGAAAAATAGCAAGATGGGTCATTTAGAAAATTTTAGGAATGACATCAGCAATCCAGGAAGCAATTTATAATGAGATTACAATTCTCAGGAAGAGAAATATAATTTTTCAAATGTGAGGGGCGGATCTATATTAAATAGAAACCTCAGGGGGTGTCAGTGTAATTTATCCATGATTGATTTTATATATATATATATATATATATCTTCTTTTTTGAGAAAAATATTTATATATGATTTTTTTCAGGTTAAATCATATTGTTTTGGAAAATATATTTTGGCCTACTACTCATTTATTTGTATTAAAAAATAATTTCAAGTAAGAATATCAAATTTTGTTATAGCTACAATTGGGAGGAGGAAACTCAAATCTCCACATTATCAGTGGGCATCTTCAACTAATTGATGTGTCATCAATGTACTGATTTAATAAATCTCACCTTTGATGTCTTATAACAAATACATTAGTAACACAAATAATCTAAAATTTAGTCACCGCAACATAACTAAAATTGAAATTATCCAAACAAGCAATTATTAATACAATAGACAAACAAAAAGGAATCCAAACATGCAATAAGTTCTTGCTGATGAACATCCAATGCAATCAACCAATCCATAAATCTACACATTCTCATCCACTTAATTTAGAGACATTTAAAATATATAAATTTTGAGTAAAAATCATTTAAAAATTCATTAAATATAAATAAAGAAATCATATTTTTTTAGTATTTATTAAATTTTTTAAATATTTCTTTCACAAATAAATTATTTGGAAAAAAATAATATTAAAAATATTTTAATCGATTTTATTTAACAAACTAACCGATGCAACTTTAAAAAATTAAATAAATAAACTATATAAAATTTCAATAACACCCTTCTTGTATCTTTGTATTTGATATAGGACAAGAGATATAATGACCTTTCAACCATTAATCCCTTCGCTCAATTTTTAGTCGTAACACCTCCATGTCTTTGTTAGTCCTACCAATGGGAGGATTATTAGTCTAAAAGAATAGTTAATTCATTCACTCATATCCCTAATCAAACAATCTTTAAGTGGATCCTACAAACTATTAATCCAATCCCCCTTCTTAAAGAGCCAAACATACAAAAAGAATATAAAAATTTTAATTATTTTGACATTATTTGATTAAGTGGTTATGAGCTAAAATAGAAATTTCTGGGTTTTCATCCCAATGTTACCATTCCGATTCTCATATTGTTCAATTACAATGTCAGATTTGGCAATATTAAACCCAAAGTAACATGGTAAACTCTCCCCCCTCCCCCGGCGAAAATGATCATACGTTATCACCACCCCCAAGAACAATGACCTCACAAAAGAAAATCATAGAACCTTAATAACATGAACAACATATCCCACTTACCCATCAACATTAATTCCCCCAACAGCAAAACAACATTAAAAAAAAGAAATCCAAACACACAACCGCAGCATCATCATGAAATCTTGCCTTTAATTTTGCCAACATCTGAAAAGTTTACCAGCACTAGTATTGTTATGTAGAAAATCTATATTCGAGATTCAGTGGTTCGTAAAATAGTTGCAATCAAGAGTAACTCAATATAGTATAACGCAACCAATCTCAACATTATAACACCGAAAAATAATATGATGTTTCCATTGCAAATACAATAGAATAACAAAATTGAATACCCAAAAAAATAAAACAAACAACACATCGTAAACCAACATCGATAAAAAGTGAACACCAACATGGAAAAAAAATCGCACAGCACATAAACCCTCACAAACCTAGTATCAAAAACTCAAAATGAGACAACCGCATACACCTCTTCAGTAATCCACAATGATTCCTCCATCAATAATAAAACACCAAGTAGGCAACATCACCCATTCCCCAAGTCACTCAACGAAATCTCAAAAAAATAGAAATATTAGATCATGTCTTACCCACACACACCTAACACTAGCACAAAATAGAAATAAAATCCAAAACAATGGGCAAACAAGTAAACTCCAATATCACTAAATCAAATCAATAAAACATATCAAAAATAAAAATGACTAATTGGTTTATAAAAAAGCATCTAGGACTAAATAGACTAACATTTCTCCATATGAGATTTATGAGTAATTTTTCCATTATACTTTGCCTCCATTATATTTGATCATTTATCACTTTGTTCTCAATTTACTCCTAAGATTAGTTTCTATTTAAAATTAAAAGGTTATATTAATTGTCACATAATTCAAAAAATATATGATTATATTGGGATGGAGTTTGTGTCAAATATGTGACTTATATATTAAAATATTTTTATGCCACGTAGCTATCAATATACCATTTTCTGTCAAAATAAGAAAACAAATTTTAAGGGTCAACTATTCTTTCTACGTTTCTGTACGCTTTTTTAATAAAAATCCAAAAAGTTAATTGAAATAATTAGTTTTCAAAACAACCATATACCTATGGGGTGGACAAACGTTAGGCCATGCTGGATTCGGGTCAGGCTAACACTACATAATAAGGAATTTTGCATCTATCCAAGCTCGATCCAAAAAATAATTATAAATCCCAAGACCGCCCGTCGGTTATATGTTAAAAAAAATTAAAATATTTCATAATTAAATTCAATCAAACATTATATTTGTTAAATAAATATATTTGACATCATTATAAATTGAAAGATTTTGTGTATAAATTAGGAGTGGACAAATGTCTAGCCTTGCCGGGTTGATACTACGATTTTGTGTCTGCCCATGCTTGGTCCGGCCCTAACATCAGGTCTCTATATCTGCCCAAGTCCAATTCAAAAAATAATTATAAATCCTAAACTCACCCATCGGGCTTTATGTTAAAAAAAAATCAAAACATTTCATAACTAAATTTAATCACACATTATATTTCATAAATAAATATATTGAGATCATTATAAATTAAAAGTTTTCTTAAATATTTTAATGTATTATAAATAAATAAATAAATAAATAATTTAATTACCATCTGGCCGGGTTTGGTTGAAAATATAAATCTCAAGCCCAACCCATTCATATTTCAGGCTGAAAATGTTGGCACAGCTTGGCCCTATGGGCTAAAACAACCTTTCCAAGCCCTAGAAAAATAGGATTGGGCCAACGGGCCAATATTCACCATATAAATTGAAGGATTTCTTAAAGAAATTTAATCACATATCACCACAAATGTGATTGTCAATAAAATCAACAAAGATAAGTATAGATCCCAATAAAAAATATATATATATATATATATATTTTTTTTAATGTATTATAAATAAATAAATAATTAATTAATTAATTTAATAACAGACTATGGCCAGGTTGAAAATATAAATCTCAAACACAACCCATTAATATTTTGGGACTGAGAATGTTGGCTCAGCCTAACCTTACGAACTAAAATAACCTTCCTAAACCCTAAAAAATAAGGCTGGATTGGGTGAGATGGACAAACCAACAAACTAATATCCACCTGTACCTTAGGGGTGTAAATTTGGCCTGGCTAGGCCCGACCCATATCAGTCGTCGCGAGCTCCCGCCAAAATTCGAGTCGGGCTGGGTCGGCTCATGGCCTAGAAAATTAGGCCCAAGCCCAAGTGGTATTCGTGTCGGTGCACCTGGGCCTGGGCTCAGGGTTGGACCAAGTTTAGGCAGGTCTGAACAATTTTTTTTGTCTTTTCTATTATTTTTTTAATTAAAATTTTATTATTTTCTATTAAAAAAAACATTGGATCTTAGGCGGGCCGGGTTTCAAAATGATAGCCCAGGATCTCAGGTTAAGCTCGGGCTCGGGCTTGGCCCGGACCCACCTTGGGCCACAGGCAGACTTCGGACCACCCACGGGCCGCAGGCACACTCCTACCCTACCTGTGTGAGAAAAAAATTTATAAAAAGATTAGTAAATATTATAAAAATTAATGATTAAAATCATAAATTTTGTGGTGTGTAATAATTTTTCAAAATTTATACTGACATATTACCCAACTCGATCAGAAACCCTAACTCATAAAAAAAATTGTAGCAGACATTACAGATATAAAGCTTCGCGCTTGAATCTCAACCCATTTAAGATAGAGAAAATTGGAATATAAAAGGTTTTGCGCAAGAATTTTTAACACATTTAGCAAAGAGAAAGTTTTTGTGAACTTGGTTTGAGAGAGTAATGGAAGAGATTACAGATGGAGTGAACAATATCAACATCACTGAATCGAAGACGAAGAATCGTATTCAAGTTTCCAACACCAAGAAACCCCTTTTTTTCTATGTCAATCTCGCCAAGGTACTTGTTTTCAGTTTTTAATTCCCTTATATTTCGATTCAAAATCAGATCTTTTGACATTATTATATTTTTTGGGATCTTAATCCAATTGTTAATTGATGGGTTTGCAGAGATACATGCAGCAATACAATGAGGTGGAGCTTTCAGCTCTAGGAATGGGTATCTTGTTCTTATCTATCATATTTATGGCTATATATATATATATATATGTATGTATGTATACATTAGGTGCTTTAGTGATTTCATTATTGGCTCCTTTGTCAATCTTTTCATGTCTAGAATTGATTTCTCGACTACTATAAACTTGCAGCAATACAATGAGGTGGAGCTTTCAGCTCTAGGAATGGGTATCTTGTTCTTATCTATCATATTTATGGCTATATATATATATGTATGTATGTATGTATGTATACATTAGGTGCTTTAGTGATTTCATTATTGGCTCCTTTGTCAATCTTTTCATATCTAGAATTGATTTCTCGACTACTATATTGAACAGTAATGTGGTTGGAGGTTAAAGTTCCATTTAGGAAAAAGTTAGTAACTCAGTTTTACAGTCCCCAATTTCTGATTTGTGTGATGGAGATCAATTTGTTGAAGTGTAGGGTCCATAAGTGAAATGAATTGCAACCATTGATTGTTATTTCTGGGTAAATTCCGGGTAAAAATTTCTGGGTAAATTCTAGGTAAAGATTTCTGAGTTTGTAGTCCTCATCCATTTAACCAGCATTTTTTTTTCCTTTTTAAGACAACTCCCTAATTACCAAAAAATGGAAGAAAGGAAAAAACAAACTAACAAGAACGAGCGAAATCTTTCCTCTAATTGCATGGATTCACTATTTGGGGATGCATGTTTGTCTTTCTGTTAGGCTCTTGTTGGTTTTGTGTTTTGTGAAAGTTCTTATCATGTTTTTGAAACTTCAATTACATGTTGACAAATGTTGAAATTCAGTCAAGAATCTCCCTGAAAGTCGCACAAATGCAAAGATTTTGGTATGTGTTAACAAAGTTTTTAAAAGCGAATGTGTAACGTGAGGTGTTTTACCCCGCGTGGGGCGAGGGGTAAGCATTTCAAACTCTGATTTTTTATGTTTAGTAAATAATTTAAATAGTTTAAAACAATAAATAAATACATCAAAATTAAATATAAAGGTGTAAACTTTTTTCTACTCGTGGCTTATTGCAGAGAAAGAAACTTTGCTTTATTGAAAGTGAAATTGGTATTCTTAACTGTAGTGATTGAGTTTCTCACTGAGCATTAACTATGTTTTTCCTTGATTGGTTATGTACTTAATTTTTCTTATGCATAAAAGGCATACAAGATGCACCTAAGGCACATGTCTCAAGATTGTGTGCGCAAGCCTTTGGGAAGTAAAGCTTAAAAATCAAAGCCTTGAGGCGCTTTACCTTAGCCTTGCTTCAAGGCGAGCATCGAAACGAGCCTCAGTAAAGCTTTTTAAAACTTTGTGTGTTAATGTTAAGAATTAGGGAAGAAGTGTATTTATGCACCTTAATATGTTGGATACTTGTTGATTTCCTAGCATGTTTGATTCTAAGAATGAGGTAACTTGCTTAATGTTTTTGCTTTTTGGGTAAACCTTGCACTGTCCATCCAAAACCAAAAATTAATTAATTAATTAATTAAGGAAACCAGGAAAGTTCATGTAACCCAAACATTTTTGCATTAGTCCATTGAATCAGGTGGCTCTAGCAACTAACAATCTTGAGCATAAAATTGGGAATATGTTGGGACAAAAAGTTACCGATAGAGACAGTTGAATGGCTAGGGATATTAGGGTATATTTGTCCTTGGGTATTGATAGTTGGGCTAGTCATGAGCTTGGTCTAGACTGTTCAGAATGATGAACAGATATGGTTACATAAAAACATGGGGACATAAACGTATTGTCAGTATTATACTTATTGTGTATGTTAGTTTGACCAATGTAAACATAACCTTCGATATTATTTTTCGATTTACTTCTGCAGCAATTGCTACAGTTGTCACCGTCGCAGAGATTCTGAAAAATAATGGTTTTGCTGTTGAGATGAGTGAGTTATTACTCTTATCGGTTTGGCTGTCCCAACCTTTCTAACTTTTCAATAAATTTGTTTTTTATTAGAATGTTAAATTTGGTTTTCTGAAATCAAAACATGCAGAAATTATGACATCTACTGTGGACATGAAGGATGAATCTAGGGGAAGATCTGTCCAAAAAGCCAAGGTAAGTGTGATTTTGCAAAATTTATAAAGTTGCCGTAACCATTTCCTTCTAAGAATTTTCTATTTGTCCCTTAAAATTATTACTGAAGAATGAACTTGATCCAAGTTTATCTACTTTTATTTCCTGAGCTGATGATGTGACCCAAGTTTCAGAAATGTCAACAGATCATTAGTTAGGATGGTCATCTAGGTCGAAAGTTTTTTCAGATACTCGGTTCTTAAAGATAATTTTGAAATTCACCAGGCCTCACTGCATATGTGGGCTATCAATGTGAAGCTTTCTAATAATGTATCTATAGCTTTCTATCATGTGGGCTATCATGTTTTTGTTTAGTTTTTATGATCCTCTGGTTGGGAAAATGAATTGTTAAATTTTTTATGGGAGATTGCTATATCCATATGAGAGAGGGGGTTGGGAATACACTCCAAAAAGCTGCTAATTAATTAATCCTGTTTTTATATCTCTTATTTGTTAAGTACTACTAGGTTGTACCTTGTATCCTAGGTTGGGAGGAGGAGCTGTTTACATTTGTTAAAGTTTCTTTTTTCAGATTGAGATATTACTGGGCAAGACAGCAAAATTTGACGAGTTGATGGCTGCTCAAGCTGAGGAGAGGGAGAGGGAGAGGGAGAGGGACAGGGAGAGTGGAGATGTTGAGGTGCAGAACTGAAGGAAGAAATGTTTGCCATATTCATTGTTCCAACAGTGATAACTATGCGTGGTAGCCAATTCCCGTTGTTACGGTTTCTCTAAATTTGTAGTCCCCTTGTTATTAAGACAGCTTTGCTGGCTTGCGGCTTGAATTTTACCCTCTATATGCTTCTGTAGAGATGATTTCAGTTCAAAGTTTCATTTTGTTCATATCCTAGTTCTTTGCACTTGGTTTATTTTGTTTTGCAGACCCATCAAAGTTAATTTGACATTTGCTTTGAAATGGAAAACTAAATTACCATTTCAAGTTTATTTTTTATTTTATATATATATATATATATATAAATGGAATGCAATAGATTATGATCATACTTGCATAAGCCTACTCTGTAACAGTTGGGTTCCTGAATCTAAAATGGTGATTAGATCACTCTCTTCTTTGACCAGCCGAGTACATGCCTCCCTCGCCAGAACTCATCAATGAGCTCTATTGCATACTCACCAACTTCTGAGATTGAGTTGGCCCGTAGTTCTATTTCTCCCAAAATATCCACCAATTTGGTTGAGCAGATCCTCTATAGTGCAAAATATTGGGTTCTCTGCCACGGGTTCTTTGTTTGGGCTCGGGTGAATACTGGGTTATAATCACAGCAAATAGAACTATCAGTCTTATATATGTTATAGTCAGTAGAAAACAATTTCCATTGATGTGGGATTCTCTTGTAGATGACAGAGCTTAATGTTGCATTAGCCTCGGAAATTATCTGGGTCATTTTTATGGCATACAGTAGAGCCAACTTAGGTTGAACCAAATGTCTTATTCATCTTCATTCATGCTGCTGGAGATGCAAATGCGATTCATTCGGCTTTTAGGGTTCTTGACAGAATGATAAGATACAATTTTGTGCCAAATGATATACTGTAATTTAAATAAATTATATTGTAATGGCACCAATTTGTAAGCTAATTTTTTTGTCTCGTCTTATTTTTATTTTTCGTGATTTCTATTTTTAACATGTTAATTTTTTTTTTTTTTTTCCAACTTTTTACATCAGTCTAGACTTAGATGACCCCTGTTATATGTATATAAAGGTTTCAAAATAAAAGGTTTAAAAAGTTTACTAAAGAAAAAAGTAAGAGAAATTACAAAAAAATAGAAAAGACAAAAATAAATAGTCCATCAGTGAGATGTTTCCCGAAATTACAAAATAAATGATAAATTTAAAATTAATTACAAACACATGAAATCATTGGTGCACAAAGACAAAATCAGCCATTCCCCTTCTCTCTCGTTTCCCTTTCCCCTACCTCTACAGCCTTAACAACCACCAAACGTCGCTAGCCCCTTTCTTATCACTCTCCCACCATCGCAATTCCTTTCCCACCCTCCTCGCTCTATTTATCTCGTCTCTTCTCTCTCTATTCTTCCTCAATAACCACCCACTACTATTACACAACTACCATTGGTGACACCATGCACGGTTGCTGCCACTTGCATTGGAGAGGAAGAGGAGATGAAAGACAAAGAGAAACCTAAATAGAGGGAAGGCAATGACAATGGCAATGACGGTGGTTAGTGTTGGAGAGCAGAGAGTAAGCTGAAACGAAATGAGATGGTGATGGCTAGTGATAGTAATAGGGAAAGGTAGTCAGGGTGGTTAGAATTGGAAAGTGAGCAAAAATGAGAGGTGGCAGTGGTCGGGTTTGAAAAGAGAAGATAAATGAGAGGCTATGAGGGTGATCGAGGTTAGGAAGGAGAAATAGAGAGAAGGCGATGGTGGTTGGCGATGATAGTGGCACTATTGAGAGAGGGTGGTAAGAGAAAGAGAGGGGGGGTGGTTTGAGTTTATATGAAAGGGATATTTTGATCATCTTCAATTTGCAATTATTTATCATATATCCATCGTATTTTTTTTTATGGCAAAATTGCATTTAAGTGAGAACGTTATAAAATAAACTTAATTTGATGAAAAAATTTATAGATTTACATTTTAATGTTGCACAAATTTTCACTAATATGTAATTATCAAATTCCACTAAATGATATATTCCCTTCTTTTATTCTCCAATTAAATAGTAATTTATCTTTCTTGTTTCTATTTATTTGTAATTTGTTCAAGAAATTAAGTCAAAATTGATTAGAAATTGGATAAAGTTGACTTATTTTCAATTTGTTTTGTTTAAAAAATATTATATATAATCATATTTCTTAAGTATTTTTTTACTCACTCTTAGATACAAATAAGCGAATTCAATGTGTATTTATTAATATAACAAGCCTGGTTGGTTAAAGAAGTGACACAAGAAATAAAATATAACTTTATTTTTATAAAATTGTTTTTTCACAAAAAAATATCAAAGAGTACTTTTAAAATTTTCAGAATTATGTTCACGTAAAAGTAAAATAATAGATTTTTGTTGAACTTTTTCAGAATATTATTTATAAGAAAAAAAATACAAAAAAAATAAACGACGAAAATAAAAACATAACCCAAGAAAGAAAAATGTTTGGGAGCACTAATTAGTGCTTTCACTAATTAGGTGGCAGTCGGTCCCCGTCATTAATGATGTGATGTTTTGATCTTGAATTTGTTTTTTTTTTTTTTTTTTTACTTTTTTAATGCATTAATGTTATTAGTGGTGATGTTTTTAGTGGGATGAATCATTGTTGCCCAAGAAAACAGCGACATCCATAGAGATCTGTCGAGTGATATCTTGTGTGGTTTGTTCAATCTTTTCCTAAAGACCCAAACACAAAATTAACAAACTTTCACTATCATCATCGGATTGAGAAAGATTTGATTCAGCAGAGTTGCATATGAAATGGTTATGGTGAGTGTGAAAAAGCCCTTATTGATTAGCATTTCACTCTTCACACTCTCTCTCCTCCTCGCCGTGATTTGGTTCACCCCTTCTAATCCCTTTTCCGAAACCTTGCTTTCCTCTACATCTTCAATGTAAGTATATATATACACCTCTATTTTCTTCTATCTGTTTGGTTGCAGAGAAAAAGAGGGAAATTTTAGAAAATCTCAGTTGTGTTTGATGTTTTGTGATATGGGTTTTCTGGGGAATGAGATTTTGCTTTTCTTTATGATCATCTTTTGGATTAATTGAGATTTGTATTTGAAATTCAGGTCCGAGATGCGTGGAGAAAAAACTCATATATGGAGTGTTCGAAGGATTGTAGAGTGGCGACCTTGTAAATGGTGGCTTAATGGAGATCTAAGTGGTTAGTGAAATTTTTGTTGAGTTCTTTGTTTCTTTTTGGGGTTTATTGTCTGAGATCTTGGTGACATACTTGAGGGTTGTTTTTTTAGGAAATATTTCAATTATACAGTTCATCTTTCAGTTCAGGATTATTTTAGGAAAAAATCAATAAATTTTGAACAATATCAATAAATGAATTCGAAGTAGAACAAGTGGTATGTCTGAAGAAAACAAGGACGGTTATGGAAATATGATTTTGTGGAATCATTGAATTTCACAGATAAATGAATCAAGGTTTTGTTTCTCTACTGAAGTAATTAAGATAGGAATTATTTGAGGGGCTTGTTATGACATTGGAGTTAGGGTTAGTGTTAAGAGGTTTGTAATTTATTTTTTTGATATTTCTGAGTCAAGCTTGACTGGCTTTCAATGCAGACAATTTGCATTTGGTTTTTTGTGTTGAAATGCTGCAGCTCTTCCGGCAGAGAGTAGTGGGTTTATTCGAGTGGATTGCTATGGTGGGCTTAATCAGATGAGAAGGGATGTAAGTACTTCACAGGGTTCTGGTGACTTTTTCTTTTTTCTTTTTTCCTTTTTTTGAGTTGATTTTTTGTGCTAAATTTTAAGCTTGATTGGGTATAATTGGATTTTGTTTGTGATGCTTGCAGTTTTGTGATGGTGTTGGCATCGCACGTTTACTGAATGCAACTCTTGTTTTGCCAAAGTTTGAGGTGGCTGCATACTGGAATGAATCGAGGTAGTTGATGGTTATGATTTATGATTAAGAATGGATGTTACCTTGCATTATATGATCTGAGTTATCACTTCATAATTTAGTAGGAACGGCTTTAAGTCGTTATTCAGGCCCTGAACTCATTTCATTGCATTAGAATTAGATAAATTCCATGAATGCAATGTAGTTTTAACTTTGTTCTATGGCAGCGAAAGAATGGACAAATGGTAAACTCTGAAGTCTATAGATTAAAAGACAAAAACAATCTCAAATCTTGTGGAATCACTTGCGTTGACGAGTGCTTAAAAAAAATCAGTGGAGGGAGTGGAGATAAGTATAGATATTTCAGTAGCTTGTCTAAACTGTGTCCTTGGTTTGCATTGCGGTTTGGTTTTTTCTTCCGAATTTCGTTAATAATTGTGGAATAGTTGGAAGTGTGGTATAGGGGAAGGACATAGTGGGCTTTTATGTTTGTAGACATAATGAGTCCTGATTCAAATTTCAACAAAACCTTTAGCATCTTCACATGTGTGAAACTTTTACTGGAGGTGGATAGAGTGCATTGATCCATTTTCCTTTCTGGAATCTGTAATTATATAGTGGTGGTAGGAATCTATTTGGAGCACCTTTTATTGATTTGAGGAGAAGGAATCAATTGTTGTTCAGTTAGTGAACTGGAAGCAAAGAAAGACACTAATCTTTAATTTCTTTCTGTTCTCTGATGTTCAGGAGTGTAATCTGTTTATGTGGGTCACTTTTTTGCTTGAAGTATACCTTACTCAAAATTTGAACTCATTGGCTGCAGTCCTTGGCGGTAAAAATAGATCTACAGCTTTTCCCCTGTGAGAATTTATGTGCCTGAGTGGATCTGAAATCACAACGCAGAGTACTTTTTTGGTTATCCAGCACATGGTTCTTCAAAAATATGGAATGAAAGAATTGGCTAAGAGTTGCATAGTTCTCCATTGTATGTGTTGTTATTTTTGTATAGAATATGTAACACTTGGGATTTATGTTACCCTCTTTGAGCCAAAATCCTGCCTCCGCAACTGCATACCTTCATGTGTACTGTTGCCACTGTGAATTCAAGTATTATCAGTGTCAAGACTAAGTTTGCCAGGGCCGTCCTTTGTAGATTCTTGCTGGAATTAATGGCATTATCTGTAGTAGGCAGTGATTTTTTTTTTTTTTCAAGCATTGAACTCCTGAATCTTCAAGCAATCCTTGAAACCTTACCTGCTTTGGATCTTTAATAAGCAATAAATGGCCCTTAACAGGGGAACATATCTGGGAGATCGTTAGAAAAACTTTATCTACAACCTTTTGCTTCCATTTTCAATTTGGGGTTCATATATTCCTCAGTGACATAATTACCTAAGAAGTCAGACAATATTTTTCTTATTGGCCACCATTCTTCACAATCACTGTCTAAAATTGACCAAAGCAGACACATGTTTTATACTTCCTTTTCTTTTATTAACTTACAGAATGCCATAAAATAGAGGTGTAAAATTTTTCCCTCTAATCTACTGGTAATTGAACTTTTTCCCTTTAGTATATGTGTGTGCGCATGTTTGTGTGGCAACATTCTTCTAACTCTTTAGTTTGGTCAAAGAAGATAAATCTTTTAGACTTCTTTTACTTCTATTAACTTACAGAACACCACAAAATAGAGATGTAAAAAATTCCCTCTAATCTACTGATAGTTGAACCTTTTCCCTTTAGTTTATATGTGTGTGTTTGCACACATTTGTGTTTTAACATTCTTCTGACTCTTTAGTTCTACTTCAGTGGTTTTGCAGATGTGTTTGATGTGGATTACTTCATTCAACAGATGAATGGCTTTGTTAATGTTGTTAAAGAATTGCCAGCAGAGATTGCATCAAAAGAACCATTCCACGTGGATTGCAGCAAACGCAAAGGCCGATTTGATTACGTCGAAAGTGTTCTCCCTTCTCTATTGGAGCATCGTTATATTTCAATCACACCAGCTATGAGCCAAAGGAGAGATAGGTAACCATGTTGTTCTTGATTGAACAGAAGGTTTCTTGCTTTGGGATTCCGTTTATTTTTATTTTACTTTATTTCAAGAAGATCCATTGACCAATTTTAAAGCTATGATAACAGGGCTGAAATAGTAAACGGTGTTAGCTGAGGGATTCTATGCTGCATTTTGTGGGCATATCATGTTTTTGGTTTTGTTAGGTGTACAAAAAGTAGTGCAAGTTGGTTCAGCACCTCTAGGCTCTTGCCCTCTTTGGTCAATGAAAGATTTATGTTCCTCCAAATGTCTAATAGGTTGTGTTGGTTTTCTTTATTGGATTATATGAACCTTGGTTCAGCCTTTATTGTTGAATATGTATCGTAGCAAAGGCACAATATATTCCTCAGTTGCTTCTTGATGAGTGGTTGTTCTTCTCTGTGTGTGATGTTGTTTTAGTCCAATGATGGTTTGTTATTTGTTTTCTAACTGGCAACCTGGAAAAAATAATGAAGTTATGTTTTCTGAGCATCCCTATGTTTTAAATATTGTAGATATCCTCTGAATGCAAAGGCTGCCCTTTGTCAGGCTTGTTACAATGCATTACGCCTTACCAGAGCCTTGGAGAAGAAAGGCTCTGAGCTTCTACAAGCCATACCCAAACCCTTTCTCTCACTTCACCTTCGGTTCGAACCTGACATGGTAGCTTATAGCCAATGCAACTATTCTGGCCTCTCTTCTACTTCCATGGAAGCCATAGAGGCTGCACAGGGAGATCGAAAACCCTGGACTGGAGAAGCTGCCCGTGTTTGGCGAAACCGTGGGAAATGCCCCCTCACTCCTAAAGAGACTGCTTTCATCCTTCAAGCACTTTCCATCCCAACAAACACAAACATTTATTTGGCGGCCGGAGATGGTCTTATGGAACTTGGAGGGCTAACCTCAGTTTACACTAATTTTTTTACAAAGGCTACACTTCTTAGTGGTGAGGACTTTACAAGCATGCATGGGAACACAAAAGCTGCACTGGATTATTATGTATCGATCAACAGCGATTCATATGTAGCCACATATTTTGGGAACATGGATAAGATGGTTGCGGCAATGCGGGCTTTCAAGGGGTTGTTTAAAACTCTTTTCTTGAGCAGAAGGGCTTTTGCCGAGTTCACTTCTCAGGGCTTGGAGGGGAAGGAGTTGATGGAAGCACTTTGGAAGGCACATAGAGATGATTTTTTGATGGGAAGAGGTTCTGCTTTGCCCGATTGCTTTTGCGAATTCAAATTATGAGAGGTCAGGTTTTGTTTCTGTTTTTTCATAAATTTTTAAGCTTTGCATTTTTGTTTTTTGTACTAGTGATGGGTGAAACATGTATTATTTTCAATTGTAGGAAGTGTGTCACCCTTGCAATTTGTTCATGCTAGTTCAATATTATTCACTTAATTGACTTTGTAACATTTGTTTTACCCAAGCATTTTACTGTGGGCAAATATGGAGATGACATGAAAATTAAATTCATTCAATTCTTCTACTGAGCAATTCATTTTTTTAGTTCTAATCATAGGAAATATCCTTGTTTATTAGCTTATTTACTTTTTGTCAAACTTAATATATATAGCGGTCACATTTTGGAATAAAAATTAGGATAAATTATACTGTGACCCACTATATTGATTTTCCTTAAATTGCGAATTGCATAATATTTTATTCCACAATTACATATTTTTTTGTTTGGTCAGAATAGACCTAATATTTTGGTCTTGGATTAGTAAGTAGTACTTTACTAGAAGATTGTTAATTACCACTATTTTTTTTAATAGAATTTCAATTCTGCCCTTATACTAATTATTTTAAACAGATATGGTTAAAAGTTTATAATTATTCTATTCTTTTTAATCATTAATACACTTTTATTAAATTAAACTCACAACTAAAAATAAAATGAGGAAATTAATTTAATAAAGTGTATTAATGATTAAAAAGAATAGAATAATTTCCCGAATAATTATACACTTTTAACCATTATGCAAAATTACTTGTTTACCTTGACAGCTGTTTTTAGGAGATCATTAATTTCGTTGATTTTGATATAAAGTGATCTTTTGATAAATAAAAACACAAGAAACTATTTAATTATCCAACTTAACACTCGTAATATATATATTATGTTAAAACTATAGAGCTTACTATATTTTTCCAAATCGTGAGAGATTATTTATTAGAGAAACTCTTTTCTGTAAGTTGCCCATGGATGCAATGACTGGTAGACAGAAAATGGCACCAATTCAGTGGAAGTCTCATCATACTCCAATATCAAGAGCAATTCTGGAGCCATTTGGGCTTGAACCCTCTACTCTAGAATCACATTGCAATCATCACAATCACAATGAAAACAACAATATATGGGCATGCGATTCAGCTATTGCATTAGGCATTTGACAGTAGGTTTAGTATGGGTAGATCTTCCATGGGCATTGAAACAGTTTGCATTAAGTCTTCTTCCCTGGAATTGTGGAGGCTATGTACACGCGGTCAAGTGAAATGTCGGTGCAGCCACCGCCACTCTGGCTGCAACTCAGATTTATCGCCTCATCTGCAGTTGATGTCCCCATAATTCCAGAGTATGATATATCACTCAGTTCAACTGCTGATGTCTTCACAAAAACTGAGAATATAATATATGAGCAAACCAACTTCTAATTAGAATTTACTTAATTCTATAAAAAATTGCGAAAAATTTCTATCGTGTTCCAATTCTTCTTTTTCAATGGGGTAATAAACATTAGTGTAATACATTGATGCGTGTCATAAGATCTTGAATGTTGGCCATTACAAATATCGGCCGATATGTATTGGTAGGCCTATAAACAAGTTGAGTCTAGGTTGTTCAAACTTAGATGACCTTTTTTCAGCTCGATCCAGAACAAGCTTTTAACGAGTTGAGCTTAGATAGTTTGATTTGTTTTACTGCCCTAGTATCTGAATTCTGAGGCTCCAAGTTAGATACTTGCCGCTGTGATCTAATTTCACATCTGTATCACTCCAATTATATCAGTCTGAATCATGATTCATGTATATTTCAACCAAGATTTTGTTATTGTACTAGCCAAATGTGTTCTCTTGAAATCTCCAAAGCTAAAACATTTACAGAAAAAACTGTAGATAAACAACTGACATTTGAACTAGAAATGTGTTTATTATGCAAGGTTTACAGAGAAATGAAGGTGAAAAATTCATGGAAATTCAATATTTCCAAAAGAGAAGCTTTCACTCTTCTGCATCTCACTTTCGCAGCAAGTGCCCCCACAGGCATCTAATAGTGTACACGCATGCAAGTACAGGGTGTGTGTGTGTGTGTGTGTGTGTGTGAGAGAGAGAGAGAGAGAGAGAGAGAGAGAGAGAAGGGGGGGGGGGGTGTTACTTGGGATTCATCTGTTTTTCCATCTCCAACAGCTCCATAATTCATGACATTGGATGTGAGACTAGTTGTAGTGCCCAGCCTAGTTGAGGCCAAGCATAGAATCAAGAAAATGGCCCAGTGATCCTGCAATAGACATCCCAAATATTGACAAAAGCGAAGCATACTATTGTAGATGATTTTTTCCTTTTTACTACTCTTCAAGAGTGTTCTTAAATAAAGCACAAAATAAAAATTACTAGATTGAGCACTAGCACATAGATTGTAAACTATTATGTGCACATACATAACTATTGCATAAAAACAACATTAAATAATCTATTGTTACTGATGGTTCTATCACAGACATCACAACCCAATGATTCTGATTGGGTAATTGGTCGGTGGAGGAAACAAATTATGCCACTAAAAAGTGAAAAACTTGTGGGAGAACCTCACCATTATGAAAGAGTAGAAGTATCATAAACAATCACAATATTACATCAAAAAACTTCATGGTTCTTTATATCTTATGTAAGAACCCACACTTTATGTCCTCATCATGTTCATGAGTTTGGTATATGTATATATATTGCTTCCGCACCTGTAAGCCCCATATTTTATACTCTGATTGTGTGTGATTTTTGTAAGACGGCCTTCGGTGACCTCGGGTTACTGGCCATCACGGCACCAAACTACTAGGGGCGGTTTGGGGGCGTGACATCTTACATGTTGTATAAGTACTCACAACTTACAAATTGTTGCCATCTAATAATAACTTGTTATAGAAGTCCCTTCCACTATTTTTATGTATAAACATTGTAATTTGAATTCCTAAATCTTGTCTTTTGAATGTACTTAATTTAAAGAAATCAAAGAAACTTGTTTTCAAAGTTTTGTAACTCACAAAATCTAAATTATTATATAAAGCACATAACTCATAAGGTTTTTTTACAAAATCTAAATACAAACAAACTAACTAACCCTAAGAACAAGACCTACTTCTAATTAAGTTATGCTACTCCTAATTTCACACGAGTTGTGAATTTGGTTGAAGGCCTTCTTCCCTTTGAATTCCCAGCTTTTATATGGCTTCCAATGGTTATGTTGTGCTGCCATGTGTCCATTTGCTAGACTCCCATGAACTGCAACTGCTGCAACTACCTTTGCACTTTCTCTCCTCCTGCAACTGCCATGTATTGCACCCTCATTCCTCTTTCTTAGGCCACTAACTTCACTTCCTTCATTCTTGGCCCTCTTCTGCATGTGTTTATGCCTCTGTCGACAAAGAATTCTAAGCTTTGAACTTCTCTCATTACCACATCTTCCCCATCCTTGTCATTTTCATCGGACATCAAGTCTTTTTCTAATTTTTTCAACTTCTGTCTTCACAAATCTTTCTCAGAGAGCTTCTTAGTAGGCCTGTCAATTGTCTTTTCTGATTCTATTTTCCTTTTCAAAATCCGAACTGGCCCACTGGATGGTCCCTAGAAGTTGACCTATTCACCTCATTTACTGGAGAAGCAGAAACCAATCCATTTCTAATCCAAATTAAGTCTTGCCTCCTAGTTGGCTTATCTCCTGCAACCCTAGACATCATGGCATGAAACTTCCTTTGTTCCCTCTTTTTTTGAGTTCCAGTCTCTCACATTGGTCTCTAACCACCAATAAGAAATTTTGGATGAACTACCCCTTGCCACCCTAAATAGGGTGGTATCGGAGGCTTTACCATGTTTAGTTGAACTAGCTGCATATCTGACCTCATTCTTGGGCCACGATACTACTGTTGAAGTCCCCCAAATGGTCTCACAAACTGTTGTTGTTCCCCATATAGCCTGCCAGTTTGTTGTTGGCCACTGTATGGCCTTGTCAGTATCTTTAGGTTTTCATATGGCATAGAGCCTTTTTGCTGTTTCAACATGGCCCTTATATTACTTGGCCCCCCAAAGCATGGATGAACAGGAGCTCTTTGGAACAGAAATGGAGCATCATCCTTTCCATAATTCTCTGTAGGACCAAATATCCCTGGATCTAACCCATCATAAAACGTACAATCATTATCAAATATCTGCAAGTTACCATTTCCCATGGTATTAAACTTGAGGCCAATATCTTTTTCAATTTTTTTTTTTAATTCCATCTATCATAATGGCCTTGGCTCTTTCTTTTTCAGTGCCACATCTAAAACAAATGTACCTTTCACTAGGCTCTTCTTGAACTTTCTTTCCTTTTGCCTCCTTGGCAATCTTATCCATCATTTCTTTGTGGAGTTTCTCTAGTTCTACCAAGAGAACTCTAGGGTTCTTCCCATTCTTCTTTTGATTAGTCGATTGGAAGTCAATTGCTACCATGTTGATCTCCACCATGTTTGTGAATAGGTCACTATCAACTGCTATGACCCCTTTATATTTTTCAGCATACTTCAGTATCCCTTTCTAGATTAAATCCTGCACACAATTTCAAAATGTGACACAGTTATTAGTAAAATGCCTAAAACAGTTATGCCACTTACAATGTTCCTTGCCAACCCTATCTTTTTCGTTGGGAATATTGTGGCCAGGAGTCAAAGTTAAAAATTTGTTTGCTAATAACTCATCAAACAATACATTTGCTTTTGTTAAGTCAAAAGAATACTGTTTGTTCGACACAACCACATTCTTTTTGGCTAGCTGTGTTGCTGGCATACTCACAGGCTTTGTCAGCCTTCTTTAATGTTTCACAAACCACAGGTTTTTTTCCCTATTACTTGTGCAACATCTATGTCAACTTCCATGTCAAACTTAACCTCTTGGTAATAAGTCCCTAATGAGGCTGCATTTCTCTCTTGCTCTTCTCTGAGAATGGCTTCATAGCTGGTTGCCCTTGAGGACAACCTAAATAAGTCTCTAAAAATCATACCTTCAAACTTTTTCCTAAGCTCAAAATTTAAACCATTCTGGGCTAGTCTTATGACTTCTATTTCAGGTATATACGCATGACATCTGTTTTTTGCTTTCTTAAACCTGTCGATATACTGTTCTGCACTTTCTCCTTGTCTTTGTTTAAAATTTGACAAGTCTACCATTGTCACCTCAGGCTCAGTTCTAAAGAACTAAGCATGAAACTGACTCTCCATCTCTTGCCAAGTATGGACAGAATTTTCTGGCAAGTTAATAAACCATATAAATGCCACTTTAGATAGAAAATGAGGAAATAGTTTCAGTTTTAAATTGTCATCATAACTGGGTTCACCACATTGAAGTATGAACCTGCCTACATGCTCTATGGTTGATTGCCTCTTTTTCCCTGTAAACAAGGTAAACTCAGGAATCCTATAATTCCTTGGAATGAGGGTCGTTTCTATCCATAAAGGGTAGGGACTCCTAAACATTGGCCTATCTGGCCTTCTCAGGCCTGAGCCATACAATTCTTGTATAATGTTTATAATCTGTTGTCTGTTTGGCATAGGGTCATGACCCATCTGCACTTGTTGTTGCCCCCTCCATAAAAGTCTTGTTTGAAAAGAGGAGGTCTAGACCCTCTAGGCCTTGGTTCAACAACATTAGGTTCCTGATAATGTGCCTGATGTGGTGGTTTGTATAGTGGTGATGGTTGATATGGTGGTTGTTGGTGTAGTTGTGGATGTGGTGGTTGCTGATAAGGTAGCCGTCGCAACTCTTGTTGAAATATGGGAGGCCTAAGTCCCTTTAACTCTTGATAAGGTTGTTGGTGTACAAGTTTTTGCACATACTGAGGTCTCGCCATCTTTGGTTGTCTCACCCTTTAGTCCATTAGATTATGGTCACCATTTCTAGGGCCTTCACATGCCTGTTGTGCATACATTGGAGGCCTTTGTTGCCTCTCCAAGTTTAGGTCCTGGCCCCATGTCATTGTTATTAAAATCACGAACTAAGTTTGGCGGGTATCCTTTTATCCCATTGAACTCAAAGACAGGGTTTGAATTAATCTTCTCCTCATACTCCTCTTAGAGTGTAGGAGGTTGTACAATGACACATGCTTATTTGCAGGCAAGGCCCTTGTAGGCCTTGATGTGTAATTTTGTGTAGTCAAAGGACCAAGGTTTACCTTACTCCTTTGAGCTTCATCTCGGAGTTGCCTTGATTGACTTGGCCTGATGTTATGCTTCTCAAATTCAACAAGGACTTCATCAATTGAAGCTTGATTTTCATGTGGAGGCAAACTTGCGAGAACTTTACTCATATGCAAAATCAGTGCTTTCTTAGCATCCACTGGAGAGCCACTTGTCTGGCCATCCATGAGTACATTGTGGCCATATCTTTGGCCATCACCCTGATCGGCTACTGAATGGCTGTCATCAACATTGTCTCTGACTTTTTCATCCTGACCTTCTCCTAAGACAGTGCCATCGAAAGGCCTCTTCTCAAGATCCCCATGCATTTCTGGGGACTGATCAGTTTGTTTCTTCTTAGCTATCACTCCAAATTAGGCAGTGTCCCACTGGGCGTGCCAAAATATGTTAGCAAAAATCTGGTTTGGGTTAAATCAACAGGAAAGATTAGACAGAGAAACCAAAATTTTACGAATAACAAATAGATCAAGCAATGTGGTTGTTGTCCTATGCCATGATAGTTTTAAGGACTTCTTTGGAGATTGCAGTGTGAAGAAACAAGTGCAAATAAATTGAAATTCGATTGAAGAATAAGTAAACTTGTCATTTAATTAGAAGAATTAAACCACAAGTTTCAAAAGCACAACAATCGATAGAGCCAAACTTGGTTACAAAGACTGAAATACAAACAAACTAACCAACCCTAAGTCCAAGAACTACTTCTAATTAAGTTATTCTACTCCTAATTTCACATGAGTTGTGAATCTGGTTGAAAGCCTTCTCCCCTTTGAATTCCTAGCTTTTATATGGCTTCCAATCCGACCTTCATGGACCTTTTTGCCTTCTTTACTCAATTTCAGGATAGCATTTTAACACAACATGCAAGTCACATTTGTCTTCTTCAAAATTATCCTATCATAGTTCTATATAATTACTATAAATATCGATATTCATTAAGCTGCCACTACGGAATATGGATTGAAAAATGTTTCGACTCTTGACAATTCTTATAATTTGATCTACAATAATATATTAAGATAAATGTTTATTTTTAATTTATTACACATCTAATAAAATTTTGTAAACCCAACTCTCTTACTACATTACTATATGTAAATCGGTAACGATTGGTAGCTCGAGAGTTTCGGCTCGAAATTGGCTCGAAAAAGTGAGAGAGAAAGAGGAGGAGGGAGAGGGAGAGGCTGGAGGAGGGCGGAGGAGGAAGAGGAGGGACTGGAGGGGGCCAACATATCGGGGTGGAGGCGGGGGGCGGAGGCGGAGGAGGGGCGGAGGCTGCGACGACGATCGGCCGATGCGGGGCTGCGACGATCGGGCAGAGGCGACGGCGGAGGGCTGCGACGGACGACCTGCCTCCTCTCTCTCTCTCTCTCTTTCTTTCTCTCTCTCCCTCTCCCTCTCCTCTCCCTCTGGTTTCAGACCAGCACGACGAAGAAGAAGAAAAAATTTTTTATTTTCATCATTAAAAAGTAAAAGAAAAAAAACTATGTTATTAGATTTCTTGGAGAAAAAATTGACTTTCCTTCGTTTGTATTTTTTGCAGGTTACTTTTTGACTTCGTGTTGTTCAAAATAAACAATTTCTCGATTGATTTTCTATCGACACCTATTTACTTTGATTGTAAACATTCTATATGAGCGTTGGGTTTGTAATGCTTGAAACTTGAATAATTCAAATTAATTCTATTTGGGCTTAAACAAATGTGTAATTTCTTTTTCTAAGCTTAAAAAAATCAAATTTATAATTTCTTTTTTTTTTTTTATGTTTACTTAAAGAGTTTGTGATGGTCAGAACAAATAACTTCTATAGTTGTGTTTTAAATTTTGTGGGCGTGTTTAAAAAATTTAGTGTTCTTCAAATTTTACATTTATAAGTGTTTTGAGAGTCTTGAATTTGTATTTTTGTATTTTTTGGTGTATTATTGTTAATTATACTTTTCATAGAAAATAAAAAGATCCATTATGTTATATCAAGTTCCTTTTGAAAAAAAAAAAACACTTATATTGTAAGTTTATATTCATTTATATATATATATATATATTTAAAAAACTATGAAGCATAAAATGTGTGTAATTGTTTAGACTTAGACTTAAAAAGTTTTGGGATTTCTTCTCCATTTGATTTGGACTATGTTAATCTATGTCAAAATGTAATTTTTAAATTTTTTAGTTTCATTTATAAAAAACTTTAATAATATTTAATTTTTGTGCCTTTATATATAATAAGCCAATTAGAAAACCAAAATTATTATTGTACTTTATTAGTCAAAGTACGCATGTGTACTATTGTGGCTCATTTTAACAACGTAAAATTCTAATTTGATCAATGTACATTGTTTGTAAATTAATTTTTACATGTATCTTATATATTTTTTGCAAGATTTGTAAGATCTTTAGTCTTATCTTACCAAATTGAGATTTTATATGAATTTTTGTTGTAAGGTTTTCTTTAGTTAAGATTAGTAAATATTTTATTTTTTTAAAAAAAATAAATCGAACAAATTTTAACATATATATTTTATTTATCAATATCTTAATATCAAATGTTACATTACACATGGTTATACATGTGATTTATATGTACATTATTAGAAAATTTAATGTGAATTTCACGTTATAATTCCAAACGAGTTTGCACACGCATCGCGCGTGTGCCCAACCGCTAGTATATATATATACTTGAACAATATTACCAAAGTATTATGAATTAAAGCAACCTGCTACAATAAAACAAAATAATATATTACTATTTACATCAATTTCGACATAATAATTATATTTTATCTTTTCAAGTTTCATAGTCAACATAATCTTATTTAATAAACCTTGATGAAAAAATTATAAAAAATACTAATTTTATTAAAAATCAACATTTAAATCAAAAGTTATATTGTTTTAAAATTTAATATTTTAATAATAGTAACATGTGTTTGACTTTTCAAAAAAAAAATTTGCGCTTATCTTTAATGCATTAAAATTTTATGATAAACAGACTATGATCAAATCTCCCCCCAAAAAATATGATCCAATCTTAAAACTGGACTATCTATTTTTAAAAAATAAATATGATCCGATCATGTCATTACGAACACTTTATCAATATAATTTTTAAAAGACATGAAGTAATCAACAAACTCTACAAAGTGCACCGTTCAAATTATAAAAATAAACCTGTGGTAAAAATAGAACAGTTCATCTAAAATTGCAGATCCACCCTGAAGATTAATGGCAGGGAAAGTAAACTAATGATGTATCAAAAGGCCAAGTTTATATTCTCCAACTTTCAAGGGAAACACAAACACAACACACTACACATCAACTTGTGCAAATCTATATCAAAAGCACTACTTCAAAAGATTTAAGGCCGACAAAAATAACAGACCAAAAATAGAAGTAAAAAATAAAAAAGGTAAAATTGATAGGGACATAGAGAACTAGAATTAAATATTCTGGGAAACGCAAGTAAAACTTCGGACCAGGTGGCATGCCATCACATGAATAAATTCAGCTAGGCCTAATTCCCAATCCCTATAACAGCTTCCAATCTAAAAATTCAATAATCAAAAGTGCTACATAGATGAGAAATGAAAGATAACATCCGTACCCCTAGCCCCAAAGCCGAGTTTAATATTCTACATCTAGACAACCCCCAGAAAGTTTCATGTCCATTCTACTCGAACTTCCAATCATGCTTGAATTAAATTACATACGCTTCCACATCAGCCAAAAAGGATGTCCATCAGGATGGCACTGCCACATACAAAAGAAACAGTAAGCCATACTATAAGTAATAAAGCAAATGGAACACTTCACCAAAAGCATTTCCACAATTTCCTTATAACAAACTACTACGGACACAGACAAAATGCATTTCACCTGTATTCTGTAATAATATATAGTTCAATAAATCGTTCAACCAGATGAAGATCTCAGTTACAAATTCGAGTCCAAACAGTTCATAGTAAATGTTCTGCTTTACAGAATTATTGGGGCCTTCTTATCACAGTATAGGAAGTAAACCTATTTCATCATTATCATATAGGGGCTGTTTGGTGCAATTTATGGATCTGCTTATAGTTTTTTTACTTTGAAAATCTGTCTGAATGTTTGGTGCAGCTTCTGTTTCCAACTTATTAGGCCAAAATAGCTCACATAAGCTAAAAATAAATAAATAAATAAAGCTAAATATTAGGAAGCAAGGCAAGACTTCTGCATTCTGCTTTATTAGTTTTCAACTTGTTATAAATTGCACCAAACAGATCTATATTCCTAGTGATAAGGCTACTCTATAATTTTATTTATTTATGTTTAGAGCTATTGTCCTCTGCTCACTTTCAATTGTTGGAGCAATATATATATATATATATATATATATATTTTTATTCAACAAAAGTTTCGAAGGGGAGGCTACCGCAATCCAGGGCCAGGGAAAGCGTTACGCAATATTGCCCACCAACAAAGGGCTGCCGGCAGCGGGACTCGAACCTAAGCCAAATGGGCGAAGGGAACGAGCCTTACCAACTGAACCAACCCTTGTTGGTGTTGTAGCAATATATTATTTACACACATGAAAGGCAAATCCAAAAACTAAGGAATCAGAATATATTAAAGCACATTATAAGAAAATTCAAAAGCTAAGAACATATTATACCACCCCATTCTCCAAACTAGCTATAACCAAACCAAACCAAACCAAGCCAAGCCTTAAGTCTCATCAAATGGGATCGGTTACATGAATCCTTCTTCTCCACGCGGCCCTATTAAAGGCCATTTCATTAGTCAAATTAAGTAGATTCATATCTCTATTTAAAACGCTAGTTAATGTTAATCAGGGCCTACCCCGTCCCCTAACACTTCCATCTACCGTTACAGCATCGCATCTCTTCACTACTGCCTCTGTTGATCTCCGTTGAATATGACCAAACCATCTCAAACGATTCTCTCTCAACTTATCTTCTATCGGTGTTACTCCTACCCATTCCCGAATACACTCATTCCTAATCCTGTCTTGTCTAGTCTTACCACACATCCACCTTAGCATCCTCATCTCAGCCACACTCATCTTATCTACATGTTGTTTCTTGGTTGCCCAACACTCCGTCCCATCCAACATAACTGGTTTAATAGCCGTTCTATAAAACTTACCTTTTAGTCTAGTGAGTATTCGTTTATCGCACAATACCCTAGACGCACTTCTCCACTTACACCATCCCGTCTTAATCCTATGGGCCACATCTGCATCAATCTCTCCCGCTGTTGTGATAATCGACCCTAAATAACGAAAATGTTCACTCTTAAGAAATTCTTGGTTCTCAATCTTCAATTCTCCTCTGCTTTCATTGTTCCTGTTACTAAATTTACACTCCATGTATTCTGTCTTAGTTCTGCTTATCCGAAATCCTTTAGATTCAAGAGATTTTCTCCAAATCTCTAATTTTGTGTTAACTCCTTCTCTAGTCTCATCCACTAGCACAGTATCGTCTGCAAAAAGCATGCACCATGGCACGTCATCCTGAATATTTATCGTCAACTCGTCCATAACTAAAGCAAAAAGATAAGGACTTAAGGTAGATCCTTGGTGTAACCCTACAGTGATAGGAAATTCATTTGTCTCTCCAGCTGGCGATCTAATAGTGGTCACCACCCCTTCATACATGTCCCTAATCACGTCAATGTAACCTTTTGTCACCCCTTTCTTCTCTAACACCCACCATATTATATCCCGGGGCACTCTGTCATATGCTTTCTCAAGGTCGATAAACACCATATGAATGTCTCTTTTCTTTTCTTTATACTTTTCTATTACTCTCCTCAAAAGATAAATCGCTTCCATTGTTGACCTACCAGGTATAAACCCAAATTGATTCTTTGACACCTCTGTTATATCTCGCAATCGGCGTTCCATCTCTCTCCCACACTTTCATTATATGACACATTAGCATAATTCCTCTATAGTTGTTACAATTCTGGACATCACCTTTATTCTTATAGATTGGTACTAAAATACTCTCCCTCCACTCATCTGGCATGTTCCTAGTCAACAAAATTTTGCTAAACAACCTAGTCAACCAACCAACTCCCTTTTTATCCAAACACTTCCAAGCTTCAATCCAAACTAGCTATAAAATCATTTAAATAAATCAAAACCAATTAACAGTAAATAGGAAGTGTAGAGTTCATACTGTATGTAGAAGTATCAATTTGCTCAGGAAGTTCCTTAATATCCACCTCAAACCTTTCCTGAACCTGTACAATTGAATAGAGTCCAATATTAGCAGCATAAATGATCCCTCAATAGAAAAACATAGAAACTTGGCAATATTTTAATGTCTAATGTGACTAAATTACCTGATTGAGAACATCAGAGTCAGATGCAGAAGAGACAAACGTAATTGCGAGCCCTTTGGTGCCAAACCTACCAGCTCTGCCAACCTGTCATCAAAAATACCAAGGTCATTTGCAATTCCATAACTACTAGGAACAGGCACATCATATTCTAAAAACACATACGCGGTGCAGATAGGTGTCAGCAGAATCAGGCATGTCATAGTTGATAACAATATTGACACGCTCAATGTCAATTCCTCTTCCAACTAAATCAGTGGCCACAAGTATTCTTTTATGCCCCTCCTTGAAACCTTTGTAGCGTGTCAACCTGAAAAGAACCTTGAAAATTAGTCACCAGAAAAATTCATTGCCAAAGACTTGTTGAAGGCATCAGAAGCATGTATGTATGAAGATGTTCCAGGCTGGAGGAGAGGTACAGAACTTATTCAATCAGAATATATTTCTATGTTATTATTAATCTTTCTTTACTCAACTTACATGTAGCACACTAGGGCCCATTTGTTTTGGGTTAAGTAGATGGGAGGGGATTAGGATGGTGGAGGTGTTATTTAATGTTGTGTTTGTTTGTCGAGTTGGGGAGGGGATTAGGATGGTGAAGGTGATATAGATGGAGGTTGGAGAAGAGGTTGAGATGGAGGTTGGGGAGATGGTATTAGAAAAATAGTGAGGGGATTAGAAATTTTTTTATTTGTTATATATTGGAAATTTTTTTGTAAATATTAATGTTTAATTTTTTATATTTTTTTATTTGTTTTATTATTTTATATAAAAATAATTTAACAATTCCTACACTAACAACTATCATCAAAACAAACACAATTTTACTTAATCCCCTCACTATCAATCCCCTCGCTATCAATCCCCTCTATTCTACCTCTAAAAACAAACAGGGCCCTAGAGTGTCCTATGTCCTGGACAACTTCAAAACTTCTAGTTACATGAATCTCATACTTGCACATTTTCTTATGTAACCTATGAAATATTTTCCTATAAATAAATGTACCACCAACCTAATACATTCTAGAAAACTGTGGATTACATCTTCCAACAAGAGTTCCATTTTAGGCCAAGTTTGACATCTCTCCAAAAAGATAAAAAATTACTCAAAAAGTTAAAAAGTTAGCACTATTTACCCAAAAAAATATTAAAAAATTAATTTTCCACACATACATACAACTCAGCAATCATGTATGGCTGGTGCTGTGCAGCCTTTGTTAAGAAAAATTGCACAATTTGGGTGCAATTTTCACACACTGTTGTTCGGTCCGTGGGGGCCCATCACGGGTCCCGTTTTGATAATCTGAACCGTTCAATATGTAGAACTCGTCGAGTACTATATGTCTGTAAAAAATTACATTAATCGGATGTCGATAACTACATAATCAAATCAGTTTTGTATAAAAAAATAGATGGTGTTATAATTAACGATTGAAAAAAAACAAATCTGATCAGATAACTATCGATATCTGATCAACGTGATTTTTTATAGGCATATAGTACTCGACGAGTTCTATACATTACACGGTTCATATTATCAAAATGGGACCCGTGATAAACCCACGGGCCGAACAAAACCGTCCAGTGCAATGCCCGAAAAGTAGCCAATGATTTCTTACAATCAATTCAGCTGTTCAGATTGTACGGCTGTGGCCCACACATCTCTAATCTTCTCTTAAACACTTCTTTATACAATTTTTTAATACACATTTTTCTATAAAAAGTCAAAAAGTTAACCCCAAACATCCATATTTTTTTTCTCAACTTTTTAGTCCAAAAAGATAAGAAGTGCACTTTAATCTCAACTATGGGTCCTATCCTAGCAACAAATTGGCAGTGAAAAGGGCCTTTCAATAAAGATCTGTGACAATCATAAAGGAACAAAAAAATAAAAATAAAATATGCAGAAGTCGTTAGTTGACAAAAGTGGCAAAATATTTAAGGAATGCATGACATCAGAATTTAATTTTAGTAAACCTTCAAAATGACCAAACAAAGAACTGTTCATAGAAATTTATAAAATATATATATATATATATGAATAAAATTATTTTTAAAAAAAAAAAAAGGTGGTAATAAAAACTACAAAAAATGGATCCATGTAGCCCTGATCCCAAGTAATTGGGGACAAAGACAAGTATTCATGCTAGAGCTGTTTCCTAAAACTCTAGAAGCATATATCCCACAGATGAACACGCTTTAACCTATTTGACGTAAGCTCAATCCACAAAGAACAGTATATCATCCCCACTACCCACACCCATAATCTATGAATACGGTAAATTCAAAAAAAAAAAAAAATTTAGAGTACAAATACGGCTTGATACATTTGTAAAAAAATATATATTTTTAATTTGGAGTAATGCGAAAATTGATTAAATGGATTAATTTATCAATATCCAACCTACAATTAACATTCAATGCCAAAAATAAAGGTATAAACTAAAATCAAATGTCATTATATTAAATAACTTAAAAACTATAACTTAATTTTCAAATCATGCTAAGTAGAAAACTAAAAATAAAAAAGAAGTCTAGCAAAATGAATTTTATCTCTATAGTAGAAGAAAAATATTGGAGAGAAAGCTTAGGGCATAGAGGATACCAATTTTAAGCTATATTATAGTAGCAAAGATAGACACAGGAATGGAATAGCAATAATAGTTGCCAAGGGTCTTGTAGAAAATGTAGTTTCGATCATTAGGAAAAGTGATAGGATTATGTTACTTAAACTAGTTATTTGAGAGAATATAGTGAACTTTAGATGATCAGACTAATAGAGGTTTTTGGGACCAAATGGATAAGGTATTACAAGAGAAAACCTAGTTATAGGTGGTAATTTCAATAGCCATGTAGGAGTAGATAGACTAGGTTATGAAAGGGTGAATGGTGGGTGGGTATGATTTTGGTGATAGAAATGAGGCTGGAGAGAGTACTTTGGATTTTGCGTCGACTTCTGACCTAGTGGTGGCCAATACTATGTACAAGAAGAGAGGAGCATCTGATAACCTTCAAGAGTGGACCAATTAGGAGCCAAATAGATTACTTTCTAGTAAAAAAAGGGGACTGTTTAAAATGCAACGACTGTAATGTGATTCTTGAAGAGAGCTTGACGTCTCAACATAGGATTTTGATATTATACTTATGCTTTAAAGGGCAATACCAAGCTCGAAAAGATAGATAGCGTTGCAAGACTAGATATTGAGACCTAAGGCTTAGTTTGGCATAATAAAAAAAATCCAAAAAGTCACTATCCTATTTAAGTCACATCATCTCATTTAAATCACATCATCTCTCTACCACATCACTTCAAACCCAACCCATATTTCACGTTTTTTCGTAAAAAGTCAAAAAGTGCACTTATTTAGATCATCCCAAACAACCCCTAAAAAGGGACAAACTAGACACATTTAAGAATAGAATGGATAAAGAAGGTACTCGAGGCTTGGAAGATGATGCTAATACTATGTGAAACGCAATGGCCAATTGTATGAAGAGAATCTCAAGGGAAGTTCTCGGAGAGTCGAAAGGAAAAGGGACCTAACTTTAGGGAAACTTGGCGGTGGAAAGAGGAGGTCCAAGCGGTAATAAAGACGAAAAAAGAAAACTTTAAAAAGTGGTAGAATGATAGAACTCAAGAAAACCTTAAGCACTACAGATTGGCCAATAAGGAAGTCAAAAAAGTAGTGAGGGAGACTAAGTTCAAAACCTATGATGACATATATACTAGGCTAGATAGTAAGGAGGGAGCGAAAAGGATTTACAAGCTTGTTAAGATAAGAGAGGAAAACAAAAAATTTTAATCAAGTTAAGTACATCAAGGGTGAGAGCTCTGAGATGTTGATGAAGGATGAAAAGATTAAGGAGAGGTGGAAGAACTATTTTGAAAAGTTAAATAACGAACATGGAGGTAGGTCAAAAGGGAAGGAAGTAGGTAGTAATAAAGAAAATCAAGACTATAGGTTCTATCGTAGGATTAGGGACTATGAAGTGGAATTTGCACTTAAGATAATGAAATTAAATAAGACTTTAGGACTCGATGATATATCTATTGAAGCGTGGAAATGTTTGGGTAAGAAGGTGGTTGTTTAGTTGACTAGGTTATTTAGCAAGATTTTGTTGACTAGGAAAATGCCAGAGGAGTGGAGTAAGAGTATTTTAATGCCAACATATAAGAATAAATGAGATGTCTAGAATTGCAACTACTATAGAAGAATCAAGTTAATGTGTCACACAATAAAAGTGTGGAAGAGAGTGATGGAACGTTGATTGCGAGGTATAACAGAGGTATCAGAGAATCAATTTAGATTTATGCCTGGTAGGTCAACAATGGAAGCAATCTATCTTTTGAGGAGAGCAATAGAAAAGTAAGAAAAGAAAAGAAGAGAAGCATTCATATGGTTTTTATCTATCTTGCGAAAGCATATGATAAAGTGTCTTGAGATATAATCTGGTGGATGTTAAAGAAGAAAGAGGGTGACAAAATGTTACATTAATGTGATTAGGAATATGTATGAAGGTGTAGTGACCACTATTAGATCGCTTGCTGGAGAAACGAGTGAATTTCCAGTTATTGTAGAGTTCCACCAATGATCAGCCTTAAGTCCTTATCTTTTCACTTTAGTTATAAATGAGTTAACGCGCAATATTCAGGATGATGTGCCATGGTGTATGTTTTTTGCAGATAATATCGTGTTAGTGGATGAGACTAGAGAAAGGGTTAACACTAAGTAGGAGATTTGGCGGAAAGCACTTAAAGCTAAAGATTTAGAATAAACAGAACTAAGACAGAGTATATAGAGTGTAATTTTAGTAACAATCACTATAGAAGAAAAGGAGAAGTGAAAACTAAGAACCAAGAACTATCTAAGAGTGAACATTTTCGTTATTCAGGATCAATTATCACAACAACTGCGGAGATTGGAGCGGATGAGGTCCACAGAATTAAGGCAAGGTGCCTTAAGTGGAGGAGTGCGTCCAGAATATTGTGCGATAAACGAGTACCCATTAGACTAAACGGGAAGTTCTATAAAACGGTTATTAGACTAGCGATGTTATATGGGACGGAATGTTGGATAATTAAGAAACAACATGTAGATAAGATGAGTATTATTGAGATTAGGATGGCTAAGGTGGATGTGTGGCAAGGAATGAGTATATTCAAGAATTGGTAGAAGTAGTACCAATGGAAGATAAATTTAGAGAGAATAAATTGAGATGGTTTGGTCATATACAACGGAGACCAACAGAGACAGTAGTGAAGAGATGTGATACAGTAATGATAGATGGTAGTGTCAAGGGAAGGGATAGACCTAGATTGACGTGGACTAGTGTAGTAAATAGATATATGAATTTTCTTAATTTGACTAACGAAATAGCCTTTGATAGATTCCAGTGAAGAAGAAAGATTCATGCAGCCGACCCCATTTGATGAGACTTAAGGCTTGATTGGTTTGGTTTGGTTTGGTTTTAGTAGAAGAAAATATTGTTTCGATTGAGATACAATATGACTTGAGTATACACTAGGTACATCTGGGAATACCAAAAATTAAGAAGAAAAAATTTGAGTGCGTGTTTCGCATACTCAATACATATGCAGAAGTACCATACGAAGTACCATACGCCGGTAAAGCATGTTTGTCGAAGTGCCCATGCTTCATAGCACATAATACTAGTCATGTGGGATAAATTAGAGTAACAGCCAATGTTTGACAAGTGAAAGTATGAACTTCGTGGAATCCATAAACAAGCCCCCTTCCAAGAGATAAATAAACAGATGAACAAAATCAGGTTTCCAAGGTATTTTGCTTCCCCAATAGCAACATCCCCACCAATGCAATTCTTTAAACCTTTCCCATGTGAGAAAATTTCTAGTTCAATGCATGCAAACTTTGTTGCAGCACCAAAAAAAAAAAAAAAAAAAAAAAAAAAAACTCTGCCAAATATTCCTACTGCACCACCAGAAAAAACAGACTTCCATTAGATGTCAATCCACAAACCAAAAATCAGCTCAAAGTAAACTGGCCGTACAAATAAGATATATCAAATTCCAACATCCATGAGTAACCAAAATGCGCAGCAACGGCCAATAATTTCACTATTCCACTGTGTATGACTATTTGTGTGTGTTCCTTCGGTTTTTATAATATATATGTATATATATAATAGGTATATAAGTGATATTTTCAACCTACAAAATTAAGTTGTATCCACTTCAGGAATAAGATGTAGATCACTAACTAAAGCAAGAAAGCAAAACAAATGCAAAACTACATGCAAATCAAAACAAGCTGATAATGGATGAGAGTACGAGTCAACTGGACAAAAAGTGACAAAAAAAAGAAAAAGTTGAAGTACAAAAAATAAAGAAGGTATATTGAAGTCACTTTAATATACTATTTTGGTCTGAAAAGTAAAACACAACAAAACTACTCATTTATGAAACAGGGTAGGTTCTCCATATACCCTTGCCACAATTACCACAAATAACAATGCCAACTTGACCATAAGGTTTTATTCTGTAGAATACATAGTTCTAATAAGGAAGAAACTCAATAACTAGCTTCTCTAACGTAAAATCATACCATTCATGACAGCAGACTATATACTATAATTTAAATTACAGTAAATCCTAGAAATAGATATGCCTAAAGCCATTAATTAAAAGAAAGGAGAAAGAGAAAACCAAATTAATCTCATGACTAAAACCGTAACTAAAGCCATTAGGCTTTGAACCACTTAAACCCATTGTAATTAATATCATTATCTATATTAAATACAATAGAACTTTGCAAAACAATAACAAATTTTAAAATTTAATAAAATGGTTCTAGATAATTAAACAAAGCCGCATATAGAGAATAAAAAACCAAAGGTTGGCTCAATTGTCCCCAGCTTTAGGTGGGCAAGACTTCACCAGTCTGATGTTCATTACCCAGTTTGCAATTTATTAATTGGATACAATGATGCTAGAGCCATATCTAACATAGCTAATGTCACTGATTGCAAACAACCATTATCCTAAAATTGATAATGTCATACAAAATCTACACAGTTTTTTTCATAATCAACTAGAACCAGAATTAAACAATACATGCCTTTCTTCCTGAGACATTCCAGAATGGATGCAGATAGAAGGAAAGTTGCACTCTACAAGCAACTTGTTCAGCTCAGCTGCCCTGCTGACACTTTTGACAAAAATAACCACTTGGTTGAAGTCCAGTGCATCAAGGAGGTCATTCAGCTTGCGGTTTTTCTCAAGCTCACTCAATTTAATGTAATGCTGATGACAAAAAATAAAAGCAATATTGAATATGTAACCCTAACAAAAAAAACCATAGAAGCTCAACTATATACACTAGAAATACCTGTACAAGACCATGAAGAGTCAATTTGGCCTCATCATCCACATAAATTTCCATTGGCTGAAAGGGGCAAATATCACAAGACAAATTAGAGCATTCTTACAGTATCCAAAACCGTTGCCAGAAAAACAAGTAAATAAAACACAGGCAGAGATGCCAGCCCACCCACATCCAACCAGTTACCTTAGATTTTGAGTACTATGACACATAACATAAAGAACATTTATCTTCACAAATATTGTAACATTGTGTATTGTATATTTTTCTTTTTTTGTGTTTGATTTTTGATCAGTATCTTGAATTTTTTTACAAGTGTCAACTCATAAATGCATCATTTTTAATATTATCATTCCACATGAGCAAGCTAATATAAGATACAATGTGGGGCACATTTCATGTTTGCCGAATCTTAAAACCATCGTCTTTGCATCTCATCACTTCAATTTTATAATAAATCTAGGAAACATTAAAATATAGGGGAGACACATGTAGCTCTCCCTTGGTTCAGGGGTCTTTTCATGCAAATCATTTTTTGATAAGATTATTGATAATCCCTTGGTTCCCTTGTTTCCTTTTCATAAGAAAATTTGGAAAGCCATTGTCTCTCATAAAGTGAAGTTTTTCTTGTGGTCTTTGGCTCAAAAGGGTGTTACAACTAATGATGTTCTCCAGAGGAGAAAGCCTAATCACTCTCTTTGCCCTCAATGGTGTGTGATGTGCAAGAGAAATTGGGAGGATGCGGATCATCTTTTTCTTCATTGCCCGGTGGCTTCTGTATTATGGCAGCGTCTTTTCAGGTTATGTGATGTGCAGTGGGTTGCTCCACGGGAGTATATGCATATGATTCTTATTCGGTTTGAAGGGTTTGGGAGTACCAAGAAAGCCAAATCAATGTGGATAGGCATTGTTTTTGCTATTTTCTGGGTTATATAGTTGGAGAGAAACCTTCGAATTTTTGAAGGCAAGGAAGTAAATGTAGAGGCGTTGTGGGATAGGGTGGAATATTTGGCCTCATTTTGGGCATTTGTATCTCCTCCTTTTAAAGGAGTCCCTTTGTTTTTGATCTCTAGGGATTGGACTGCTTTTTGCCATCCTTAGGGTTTCGAGTTTTGCGATTTTTTTTTTTTCTTCCTCTCTTTGTATGAGGACTTCTTGCCCTCTTTCTATTTCACGCTTTAATAAAATTTTGTTGTTTCTCAAAAAAAAAAAAAAAACATGTAGCTCTCCCCGCACCAACAATCTCTTAAACTGGATGATGGTAGAGATGGCAGAATGGAAGGACGGGATTTGCTTTCCTAGCCCCAATTTCCCCACCTCTATCCCAATTACGTACTTCTTGTATGTATATACATCTATATATAATTAAATTGGTTAAATACAATAAGAATAACACATCAAAACATTCACAGATATCTCATTCATTTTCTTCTCTCCATCTATCTTTTTAGCTCTCATTATTCATTAATTTGTGTCTCTCATATCATATGCTTCATCATCTATCTATTATTAGTATTGTCACCCCATCCAAGGGTGACAAATTACCCTGACACCTCCCCACTCCCGACCCATAGAATTCTAAGAATCATGACAACAGAACAGAGGCCATAAATGATATCCTAATGCATGCCTGAAATTCTTAACTAAATTTCGAGAATGCTTCACATATCTTAACCAACCAGGAAGTGAAATTCCATATACTTCCTTAGTCTACAGTGGTGTAATGAATTACAACACCATATGTACAGTACAGTACAGTACAGTACAGCACAGTTTGATAAACCACATAAAAATACAGATTCTACATCCTCACACATAAACAATCACATAGCTAGAAAATACCATGAAACATCATCAACATTATTGCACGATGCAGGCTGTGATTTCCTTAGCATAGACTAAGAAGAAATAACAGTAATTTATTTACCTTCTAATCTAACATAACCAAAAAAAAAAAGATGGCTTTGAAATTACAGTACAGTACAGAGAATATTACATCTTGCATAAACTTCTTGCACACCGGGCGAATATCCTTGCTGAGTGTAGCTGAAAACATCATCACTTGTTTATCATGAGGGGTCATCTTAAAGATTTCCTGCACATCTCTCCTCATGTCTGTAGATAAGGTAAGAAAAGCAAATTATTAATGTTGGGAAAAGGGGGGAGGGGACACTGAAATAGAGAAACAATGCAGGGAAAAATTTGGAAACCTTCTAGACATAGTATCCACATGCAGAAACTTACCAAGTGATTCAAGCATCTTGTCACACTCATCAAGGATAAAATGTCTCACATTCTTTAATCCAAGATCCTTATCTCTTGCAAGAGCCAGTATTCTCCCAGGCGTCCCAACAACAATATGAGGGCATTCATTCTTCAGTAAATCCTTGTGAACCTTGATATTAACACCACCATAGAAGACAGCAACCTTAATATCAGGCAAATAGGTACTGAACCTCTCAAATTCATGGCAGATCTGTATAAATAAAGAATAGTGGTTAGTTAACAAACAAAATTGCATTATTGATGATATGATGTCCAATAAAGCTGGAGAAAAAAAATCTTTTAGCCCTGCAGTAATTCCAAAGAGGGTGCGCACTTGAATGAATTTCCAGGCCTTCAGGACATACCTGATAAGCCAATTCTCTTGTATGACAAAGGACAAGAGCAGCAACTTGTCCTGCAACAGGTTCAATCTGCTGCAAAGTAGAGAGAACAAAGACAGCAGTCTTTCCCATCCCGGACTTTGCTTGACAGATGACATCCATTCCTAAGATAGCTTGAGGTATACACTCATGTTGCACTGGTGAATAAGCAAAGAAAATCGGAGCGGACAAATCCTTGGTAAGTATAAATGACCTTCCAGATTCCTTTTAATGTAAAGGGGTTTACCAAACCAATTTTCTTGCGGAAATCATGAATATGGAAGTAGTGTTTACCTGCAAAATATAAGATAACAAGTTGAAAAGAAAATTACACAATGCCCCAGCTCGAAACTAAATAGAAGATCAACAATAAATCTGGAAACATCAAAAGAAAATACTTCAAGTGTGCATGTTGCCAAGATGCCCCACTTCCAACCAAAAACATGACAAGCCATCTGCCATTACATGACCAAAAGAAAAAACCAGCAAGACAAGTCTTTAGACAAAGTGAAATAATGTTCATATTTCTAAAGATGTCTTTTCAGGCAGTCTCTGCAGTTATCCACTGCAGTTGAAGATAGCACCACCTTCAGAAGCATTGATTGTCAGAAGTGAAGATCTTGATAGGAATATTTTGAAAACATAAATACACGTGTGTGTTGTAAGCAATTGAATTCTCACCAGAACACAAAAACTAATAATTAAAAACGTTTCCCCAATGAATAATATGAAAATCAGAGAAAAGAAAAAAATCATAACCCAGAGGGAGAAAATAGTTTTTTAGCATGTAGCACAACTGGGACACGACACGACGGCAAACCATCAACAGTATGAGAACGACAAGACGTACCCAGATTATGTATTTTGCAGAACAACGGTCAACTTAAATCATGCTAATAGACAGAAGTCATGCACATGTAACTATTCTACGAGATCTTATAAATAAACAAAAACAGATTAATACTCAGTAACATAGCTCACACTGCCCAAAAAAATTGTTTGTGTTGCATAGTTATATATCATAAAACAGCAATACTTTACAAAATTTACAGAAAGCAGAAATCTAAACTAAAATACAAATGCAAATTTGAACTTTGCCTTCTGAAGGATGCTCAAATCCTGAATCTACAATTGCTCGAAGAAGCTCTGGTTTCAACAGGAAATCTCTGAATCCCGAGCTGTGAATTCCAACATAGCCCCTACATCACAATAAGAGAACACCAAAAAAAGGAACTTTAATATGATGTATTCATGTGAGGAAGGCCCTACGTCGTTACTGAAATGCAATAACCTTGTCTTTATCAGCCATGTGAACATGCCACATAAATATATAAAAATTCATCAGCATATAGAGAAAATATATAACTCAAACCTTTCCCCCATACAAAATTCTCCTTTACATGGACCTAAAATGCGTTTAGCACGGCCCAAGTCCCATGAGAAGCTTTTCGAAGCCAAGTCACCATTACCCAAGCCCAGCGAGTGAGCAGAGAGAGAGAGAGATCATCATGCTCCATTGATTTACATAAAGACAATGTCCCCCTCACTTGGAAAAGCAAAACTAAAGGCGCACAACCAAAAGCAATCAGGCAAGATTCTTTGTTTTGAGACGGCATGGAAGGAACTTTTATGGACTCTAAAAACCTATGAAGCACGGATACTTCTCCTGGGATACTCGTGGATACGTATGCGATACTTCCTAAACGTATCCAACACTTGATGTTAATTTTGAGAAGTATCGGATACTTTTCGAACGATCTACATCACGTATCCAAACTACTATAAAACTGAGATTGACTGCAAGCATAGTTTTTAGAGTATACTTGTTAGAATAAATACAAAAATAATTTTCAATATATTTTATTTCTTACCAAAAAAATATAGTGAGATTACAATTTTATCAAGTTAACATGTAACTAAACCAAATCAAACCAAACCAAACCAAACCAAACCAAGCCAAGCCTTAAGTCCCATCAAATGGGGTCGGATCAAGTTAACATGTCCACTAAAAAAATAAATAAATGAGAAAAAAACTAAACCGACAAATTACTCTTAAACTAATATCTAATTCCTAAAAGATGATTTCTTACCACTTTTTGAGCTCATGAATAATATAAATTATATAAGACTAAAAATTATTTAAAAAATTCCAAAATGTATCCTAACTGTACCCATATCCATATCCTATTTTTTAAGATTTTTCCGTTTTTATCGTATCTGTTTGATCACATATCCATATACATGCTCCATAGTTCACGCCTAACTATTGCCATGTTTTAGAATTTGGTAAATTACAAATACTCTCCATGAGGTTTGCTTAAAATACAGATTGCCCATGTGATTTTGAAAATTACAAATACTCCTTTGTTAAAAAAATTTATTTAATAGAATTAACTAAAAAAATAAAATTCATAATTGCCGTCTAATACAATAATAAAATTACCTAAATTATTAAATGAAATATATTTCTAATATCATTAAAAACTGTTAATTGACTTCATAATTTATTAATAAAATGGGTAATTTGTTACGAAATTAGACACATCAAGGGATGGAATGTAATTTCCAAAACTACAAGTGATTCATATTTTAATCAAACCACAGGGTGTATTTGTAATTTACCCTTTAGAATTTTATGAGCATGCTACCTTAGCAAGCCAACAAGAGGAAAGTCTCAAATAACTGATTCCCTACTATCTTCAACCAACAACAAATGTTCAGCCTAGTCTAGTTGATCTAATTATATATTAGCAGTCAAAACCACATAATACATTCCATCTACATTCTTGCAAAACAGAATATAAGTGAAAAGACTAATCAAGCAACCAACCAGCATCAATCAATTCGAATAGTTGTCGCACTACCCAAAATACTTAACACATTTTAATTCAATTGGTTGCCTTATCACATAGAAAAATTGATCTTCTTCCTTATTCAGATGACCAAAAAAACTGTAAACGCTTAATTCAGTTAGCACCTTTTAAGGGTGATTCTCATTGGTTTTTCATAAGAGAAAGTGCTCAACTTTTCTAGGAAACCAAATAGTAATAGTACAAGACAACGGGGAAAAAAAAATTACTTTTTGGCGGATTCGGCAGTAGGCTTGCCATTGACGGAGTCAGGGGCTTTGTCGTCGTCCTCTTCGTAGTCGAGAAGCTCCTCCTCGTAAGCCTCGTTGTCCCTTACTTCACCCATGCTGATCCTCTACAAACACAAACACAAACACAAACACAAACACAAAGCAGATTGATGATATTCCTAGGGTTATAATAGAATCAGTTTGAGAGGCATAGTTTAGAGTAAGCTTGTGGAGAGATATGCATACCTTGAGGAACTTGAATATGAGAGAGAGACACAGAGAGAGAGAGAGCTAGGAGAGATTCGGCGTCTGCGAAAACAAAAACTGCAAACAAGAGAGAGAAAATAGGATAGAGAGAGAAACCCACGGATCTAGGGTTAGGGTAGATGAGGAGCAGAGAGGGAGAAGAGTGAGAGAGAGTGATGGGGTCAAACTAGGCGTGCGGAGTGCGATTAGCGTGATTTGAAAGAGCAATGGCAGAGTTCTGGTTCAAATGGTTTAAAATTGTCAAACCTCGTTTTGGACGTAAAATGGTGCAAAATAATATTATTTTGGCAGTTTTGAATTATTTAAGTCACATTTTTTTGTGGTTCTTAAATATTTTTCGATTTAAAAATAAAATTATAAATTAAAGAGAAAATTATTTATAAGTCTTATTAGGCAGAGTTATACTGCATATGGTCCTACTAAAAAAACTTATGTTCTCATAAATTCGGTTGGAAGTTTGTTTATACATTTACCTTCAATATTAGTTGTTAATATTATAAATAATAGTAAAATTATATATAGGAAATTGAATATTACCATAGATTATATGTATAAAAACGTAACGCAACGTAACACCTACATAAACGTAACGTGACACATATACGTAACGTGAAACCTATGATCTATGGTAACATGCAATTTCCTATATAGAAAATTATATGTTACCATATATCATATTTACATAAACGTAATGTAACGTGATACCTATGATTTATGGCAACATTTATAGGAAACTGAATGTTACCATAGATCATATCTACATAAACGTAACGTAACGTGACACCTACATAAACGTAACCTAACACCTATAATTCATGGCAACATTCAATTTCGTAGGAAATTGAATGTTGCCATAAATCATATTTATATGAAACGTAACGTGACACCAACATAAACCAGCAACATTTTCACATTCAATTTAAAAAAAAATAAAAACTCATTAAGTTTGCGAAACGTAACATGACACGTTACGTTACGTTTATGTAGGTGTCACGTTACGTTACGTTTATATAAGTGTCACGTTACGTTACGTTTATGTAAGTATCGTGTCACGTCACGTTACGTTTATGTAGGATCTTGTGGAATACATTCCTATCTAAATAGGACTTGAGACTCTATTAGAAATTATACAGGACTTAACCTATCATAAGTGTCTGAAAAATGACTTATAAATAAATCTCCCTAAATTAAATGACAGATTAGAGAATTGATAAATTGTGATTTGGATAATTTTTGACAGATTAATAGATTGAAAAATATTTTAATTAATTATCATATATTTACATAATATATAATACTAATTCGTATATATATATATATACCAACATAAACCAGCAACATTTTCACATTCAATTTAAAAAAAAAATAAAACTCATTAAGTTTGCAAAACGTAACGTGATACGTTACGTTACGTTTATATAAGTGTCACGTTACGTTACGTTTATATAGGTGTCACGTTACGTTACGTTACGTTATGTTTATATAGGTGTCACGTTACGTTACGTATATGTAGGTGTCACATTACGTTACGTTACGTTTATGTAAGTGTCACGTCACGTTACGTTTATGTAGAATCTTATGAAATATATTCCTATCTAAATAGGACTTCAGACTCTATTAGAAATTACACAGGACTTAACCTACCATAAGTATCTGAAAAAAGACTTATAAATAAGTCTCCCTAAATAAAATGATAGATTAGAGAATTGATAAATTGTGATTTGGATAATTTTTGACAGATTAATAGATTGAAAAATATTTTAATTAATTATCATATATTTACATAATATATAATATTAATTCGTATAATATTTTATAAATATATAATATAAAATAATTTTACATAATATGTTTATATATATAACTATTAATTTGTAATAAATTTCATATCTTAAATCTCTCTCAGACTCATTTTTATTTTGATATTTTATTGAAGGTTAAAAAATATATATGTATTAATTATAGCGGAGCGGAGCAGTTTGGAAGACGAATTATAAATTTTAAAGTTTACACCACGGTTAGCGATTAGAGCGGTGCAAATTGATGTGGATCGGTGCAATTTTTAACAAATTAAGCATTATTTTACACAACTCTAGTCATGACTGTGGGCAGAAGACATAAAAAGTGAGGAGTGCCAAAAGTACGATGCTACCCTTGTTGTGTTGGCCTTGGCCACCTATCACTATGGTGTAAAAATGGCTTGGCCTTGTGAGTTTAGTGGGTTTTCGTCAAAAATCGAGTTGGTTTATTCATGCAAAAATTCGGTTCAGATCCAACCTAAAGCCCAGGGATATTTGGGGCGGGCCTGGTCCTATGCTTGGATTTGAAGTAGGTCTGATTATTCTTTTTTATATATATTTTTTCATTAAAATTGCTTGAAAATGGTATTAGGTTTCGGTCTAGGCCTTGAGCGAGCTGAAGGGCTGAGCCAATTAGGTCAGTCTCATGACTCGGGCCGGGCCCCAAAACACATGGCCCACGCCTAGGGTCACGGGCAAGACTCGGGCTTGGGTTTAGCCAGGTCGCAGGCCAATTGGCCAATTTTACACCCCTATCTATGGTTGTGTTTGGTTGAAGAATTTGACAAAAAAAATGAAAAGAAAAAGAAAAAGAAAAAGAAAAATAGAAAGAATTGATAGCAGTAGAAATTAAAAAAAAAAAAAAATCGTGATCAACAATAAGATAATAATAATTTTATAAGTTATATTTAAATATAAATCAAAATTTTATAATAGTCTCGAATAACTTGGCACACGATAATAATGTAAGTTAACAATTTTAGTACAAAAAATTACAAATTAAAATTATCATTACAACCAGTGCACATTTATGTGGACAGTGCACGGAATCAACTCGTCATGCGCTTTGAGATTGCTCATGACCGATGGAGGTGTGGTAGAATCTTGTTCCTAACCACTTTGTTGGTCAATTTTTCTCAATGCGTTGATCAATTGGATTGATGTCAATCTTAATAAGCCTCTGTGGAGTGGTGTTTATGGTATGCAGTGGCCATTTCTTTTTATTGTTGCTATTTCACACATTTGTGTTAGCGCAATCAGGAACTCATGATCATGAGGGGTGTTGTGCCACTAATCCAATGGGTGTTATTCAAAAAAAATGAAGGAGGTAGTCCTAGCAGAGAGGGTGTCACAAAAGGAGGAGATTCATTTTGGTATTGCGCAATGGATCTATCTGTCTCAAGATTAGGTAAAGCTGAAGCAGTGGTCACAACCTATGGTAATGCGGCGGCGGGAGGTCTATTCCGAGTGTCAAATGGAGAGTGGAAGGTGGGGTTCCAACATTACATTGGCATAATGCATTGTCTTGCGGCGAAGCTGTGGGCTCTCAAATTGGGTTTACAACTCGCATGGGTAAAAGGATATATATTTATTTGGTGGAATCAAATTCATTAGAAGGGGTGAATCATGTCCTAGAATTGGATGATGCACACCCTCAAGTTGATTTTCAAAAGCTTATTCATAGGGAGTGGTGTTGTGATTTGCTTCATGTTCCAAATGACGCCAATGAGTGTGCTAATTGTTTAGCTAAAATGGTGTTGGCTACTTATCCATGCAACCAGATTCTAAGGAGTGCACCGCTGTCGATTGAAGAGTTGCTTTGGCAAGACTCCCAATTTTATAGGGGCTGTGAGTTCTAGTTTCGTGTGAATTCGTTCTTTTGTGCTTAGCTTCGGTCTCCATTATACCACACACAAAAAAATTATCATTATAAAATTTCTTTAATTTTTATTTGAGAGAAAAATATTAAAGAGATTCTATCACTTATAAACGATGAGTTTTGAATAAAAATTATTAGATAGTGTCGGAATATCATGTGATATTGCTTACGTGGTGCTTCTGACATGAGAAATCGTAACTCATACTAAGTGATTTGGCCATTATCTTCCAACTACTTAACAATAATGAGTTTCTATGTTCCATCCATAAGATTTCATGCTACACTATTGATTTAGACTACCACATAAACAATACCACATTATAACAACCATCATTTAGTCATGAGAATTTATATGATTTTGGTTTGTTAAGCTTGCATTTTGTAAACTTTGATATTTTGTATAGGATTCATGTTTTGTTCCTTGCTTTGTATGTTAAACCTAGGCTATCTACCTTTGCTACCTCACACCTAGGTCACATCTTTAGACCTCTTACACCTAGTGTGACGACCCTACCATGTATAATAATTAGCACTTAATTAATTAAGGAGATTTGAATTTTAATTGTCAATTATTCTAATTTAATCCGAGATTTATAAAAACTATGGAGACTGGTTCATATATAATTCTATTGAGGATTTATTTTGGAATTAGAAGTCGAAAGCCTACATGGCTCAAGAAAATATAATTGGTAAATTGAATTATTATAATTTCGAATATCGGACCGTATGGTAGTTTAATTAAATATTCGATTCATATTTATAAAATTGAAATTTAATTAATTAAGTCTGAATTAGAAGTAATTAAGTTATGAAAATTAAAAATTAAGACGGTTATGAATTAAATTTCTTTATAAGGCATTTTCTTTCCTTGGTTCATCTTCTTCTTGAACTAAGCTCTCTCTCTCTCTCACTCTCTCTCTCTCTGCATGTCAAAGAATTGAATAGAATGTCAAGTAATTGAGTATTCCAGCAGAGGGACACATGGCACACACACCACTTTCTCTGCACATGCACATACTTTTCGGTGCACACACCCACAAAACTTTAAATTATTCTATAATTTAATTTATGGTTAAGATTAATTTAATTAAGCATTACTTAATTTTAATAAATTTTGATTAACACAAAATTAATTAATTATAATTAATCTCAAACTCCACATAATTTAATTAGTCTAATTGACTTCTATTAGAGCCGAATTAAATATATTTAAATTTATCAATTCGAATCAGATTTTTATTCAAACTTTCAAAACGCTCCAAATATCAAATTAAATTTATTTTCATCCTCAATTTTGATAAAAATTTAAAGAGAGGAAGAAGATCTAAGAAAAAATCAATCATAAATTCTAAAATCAAAGTTCAAGGTAAGGAAATTATACTTAAATCATATAGAATCTTTATATAATACTTGAAATTAAGGGGACTATGGAATCAATTTCTTGTAAATTATGAGAAATTGGGTTTTAAGTAAGAATTTAAGATTTAAGATAAATGCATGTGTATAAAATATTTGGTAAGG